GATTGTTAGGTGGGATCGGGTTGCACGCCGCAAAACGAAGTAATAAGGTGTGGGTTGTGGTGATAAGGGTGGCCGAGGTAATAAGGGTGGAAAAGTGGTCGAAATCACTATTGAAATGAAAATATGTGAAAGTTGTGGAATCATTGATGTGATGAGATAATGTTGAAAAAGGGAAAAGGAGAGATTGTGAAACTTGTTTGGCTTTGGTTGTTTCTTTCATGTGCATTTGATCGTTGATTCTATTACTGTTTGTTACTTGTGTATTGTTTGATTTTACTTGGAGTAAAGTTTGTTCATACATACCAGTACAATTCAAATGTACTGACGTCCCTTTTGCCGGGGGCGCTACATTCGTGTTATGATTGTAGGTGGTTCTATAGCAGGTACTCCAGTCCATCGACAGTAGCACTCCTCCATCTTTCCGTTAGCTGTACGGGTGAGCCCCTTTCCTCTTGGGGCCCTGCGTGGCTCATGCCGCTTTTCTTCCCGGAGTCTTATTTTTGGTATTTGTGTATGGTATAGCCGGAGCCTTGTTACCGGCAAGTATTGTAAAACTCTTTTGTATCCTTAGAGGCTCTGTAGCCAGGGAGTGTGGGTTATGTACTTATGTATCTTGTATTTGGCCAGCGTAACTTGTAAACCACACTAAGTAACCATGTATGTCATGTATATTTCGTAAAAAGGTGTTTAAATCATAAATGGCTATCTCCTTTGATTAATGAGTAATGAAAACACGGGGTAACACGTGGGATAGGAAAGGCACCCAGGTCCGCTTGACTGGGGCTACCCGGTCGAGCGCCGGTCATGTCCCTCGGTTTTGGGGCGTGACAAATTCATAAGCTCTAGGTGGAGGCAAAAAGTGATTCGCGTCGTTACATCAAGCGCTTATTGGGAGGCAACCCAACTTTACTGCTTTCTTTTATTTTATTTAAGCTTTTGTCTTTTTTAACTATTTTATTTTTGCAGTGTCGCTTTTTGATTTTCTAGGAGCATGGAAAGCAAAGCTATTGGAAGGATTCAACAGCAAACAAGATAGTTGGAACTAAGTGTGAGGTACTCGCACGAAGGACCAGGCCTGAGAGAAGTTTGAGTACCCCATGAGCTGCTAGTGCTTCGGCCTTTGGCCTACTAGGGAGTTTCTTTTACCCTCTTATTAGTTATGGTGTGCATTGGGGACAATGCATAATTTTAAGTGTGGGGTGAGGAGATTGTTTGGGTGACTTTCTATTCTATTTTAGTTGTGTTAGTTTAATTACTTAATTTCTTTTCTTGAGGGATTTAAGTCTAACAAAAATTTCTTTGTAGGTAGTGTAGTAATTTTTCCTTAGTTTTTCTTTGTGTCGCAGTTCTTTTACAAGGGTTTTGTTTGAACCAGGTGTAGTTAGTTTTATTTTTTTTAGGAGTAGGAGCTAGTGTGAGATGAATTGAATCGAAGCAATATCTCTTGACTTTGTTATGCCTTGAGACTAGTGAGTACTTTGGTTGTGACGCTTAGGCTCAATTTTTTACTCTTGTATAAGTACCTTAAATTATATGTTCTTAACTTTGCTCAACTGCTTTGACTAGAGTGTCTTGATGATCCAATCTTGAGTGAGTCATGTGTCATGTGCGTGCGAGGTTTGTTGTATTCTGTGTATTGCATTTGATGTCTAGAACTTGCCCCGTATGTTTGCAAAGAGAAATAGTAGTTTCGTTTCTTTGTTGAGCCATATATGTATATTTTACCCTCCTAATTGTTATGTATCGTAGTTAAACCCTTTGAGCCTGTAATCATGTTTCTTTGGCAACCACATTACAAGCCTTACTCATTTGTTTGAATTAACCATCTATTTGAACCTTTTCACCTCTCATGAGCACTTGAATTATTATGAACTTTGTAAAAGTTAAAGTGTGGGGTGGTTGGTTTGGCTTTTGAGTGGAATTAATGAAATAAGGAGAAAGGTGCACTGTTTTGAAAAAGTAAGAACCACTTGAATTGAAAAAGAAAGAAAAAGAAAAAATAGTTGTATTGTTGTGAAAAAAATATTCCTTGATAAGTAGTGACTCTTGATGTAATTGTTCTTAAAGAAATATGGAGTTAATATATATTGATGTGAAGGTGGAGTTATGGCTTGACATAAGTGTGGAGTTTTAAATGTTAAAGTGTATGTAATAAAGTGCTTAGGGAGGTATAGTCACTCTGATATCCAAATGTATCCTACCCATCCCGCAGTCTACATTACAACCAATTATAGTCCTACTTGATCCTTGACTGAATGAGCTCGATTAGAGAGTAGTACACTACGGGCAAGCCTATGGTGCATCTTTTGTGGCATATGAATGTTATTTCTGAGAGGGATTGAATTCTTTCTATCTTGACTTCCTAATTGTTCTTAAATTTTATTGTGTGTGTAGAACTACTCTCTTTTGTATTGTGAGGCCACTTGATCATGAAGGAAAGGTAATCCTTGACCTCTATATTAGAGTAAGTGAGTGAGTTATGAATAATGCATGGTACTTGCGAGTCAAATCTTGAGGTGAAGATTACGCTTTTGTGCTTAGTCTATTTTAAATATTCTTGGTGTGATGATTTAGGAGAATTATTTAAAAAGGTCGTGTCTATATAAAGTGTAGTTTGATTGCTCGAGGACGAGCAATGGTTTAAGTGTGGGGTGTTGATGATAGGCTATAATTACATATTTTAGTAGCTTATTACACTCTAATTTACTGCACTTTAATTGAGTTTGAGCTTTAATCGCTAGTGTTTTGCACTAATTGTGTGTTTTATGACTTGTAGGAGTGATTCCGAGCTATGAAGTTGTTATGAAATGAATTCAAGTGATTTGGAGCTTTGAAGTCTAAGTAAAAGCCCAAGGAATTAAGCCGGAATTGTGTTCGGGGATCAACGGATGATAGTTAAGAACGAACGAAAAATCGAGTAGGTATATTGTGCACTGTCTAGTAAAATAAACATAAATTTTCGCTCAGAATTCCGTTTGGGCTCCACAATACGTTTTGGAAAGCTAACTCAAAGGGCTACAACCTTCATGTTTTATGTTTTTCCGAATTCCCAATAGAACAGGGTGAAAAGTGCACGGCAAGTGCACACCCGCGCATATGGGGCAGAAAGTGCGAAAAGTTCGCGGCCAAGTGCGGGGGCACACTTCCAGGTGCGCGGCCGCGTACGTCCTGTCCAGGAAAAGTGTCCTTTTTCGCGTAGGAAAATGTATAATTGTTTGGGCCCGACCCTACTTGGTATATATATATGGAAAAACGATATTTTGAGGACTTTTTGACACACTTTCACGAAGCCGCCGGGGAGACTTGAGATTCGACCTAAGGAGGCAAGAACACACTAGGAGCAAGGCAGAGAATTCTTCTACGAGTTTTCACTTACTTCTTCCTATTTCTATTATTGGTTATGAATTCTAGTATTGTAGTTATGCATACTATTATAAATAGCTAATTTGTTGTCTAGAATTTTGATAGAACATTTTGTAGGATAAGTTCTTGTTATGTTTTTATATAATTGAGCCGTAACTTTTCTCTATTCGTTCAACTACGTTATTATTGTGGTTGGTTGAAGAGCTCTCAATTGACTGTGCCTATTTATTGTGTATTACTCGGGAGAGAGTGCATATTTAGGTAGTTGCTGAACAATATCACTCCTAACGTATATGAGAGATCAATACGGAGCGTTTATGTAGGATTAGGGATAACGAAACCTTGGTGCGATCGACTGAGCAGTACTTAATGCCAGCTAGCGTAATTCGGGAAAATATGTCTAGTAAATTGTGGTAGTTACCGGGGAGAGAATTACAACACTTAGAGCGATCATGATCGGTAGATAATACTTAGGCGAAATTATAGAAGACGTAGCGGGAAGGATTCCGATAATTGGGGATATCGTAACTCTAGACCTCCTTAATCTTTTCTCCAACCCGTAGTATCCTTAGTTGTTAATCTACTAATTTAATTTGTTAGTTAATTAGATACAAGAATCTTAATATTTACAACTTAGGAATTGTTCGAGCTTGTCTTCTTAGTAATAGGCAACAACTTTAGCTAAGTCTTAGTTCTCCGTGGGATTCGACTCCGGACTTGTGAATCGGATTATATTTGCAACGACCGCTTAGTCCTTTTTATAAGGCATAGTTGGGCGTGCTCATTAAGTAAAAATATTCCTTGGACCGCCTTATTCCTTGTTTGGTTACTAATCCTGGATAAGTTATCTTAGGATTAAATATAGTACTGGGATAACTTATACCTGCCAGTGGGTGGAATAGTAATCCCATGATAAATTATCCTAGAATAATGTACTACGATTGCCAATTTCGGGATTAATACAATATATCAAACAATCAAGAAATAATACCAGTGAAGAAATAATATCATGATAACTAATCTCATTATAACTAAACCCAATATAACTAATCTAGCATAACTTGTAAGAAAACAAAAGAACCCTAAATCCCTCTTTACTCCATACCACTATTTCTTTCTTTTTTTTTCTTCATATAAATTGAGTTGCATTTGATTTTAATAAAAAATTGACTCCCCCCTCCCCCCAAAAAAAAAATTAAAAAAATAGCCGGCTATGAGGGTGTTAGGCTAAGCTTATAAGCTGGTCAAACTGGCTTATAAGTACTTTTTGGCTTATCTACGCGTTTGGTAAAATTAAAAGTGCTTATAAGTTAAGTGCTTATAAGCCAAAAATAAGCCAAAAGCCATAAGTTGGTCTCCCCCAACTTATCAAATTTCAGCTTATAAGCACTTTAGGTTTGACCAAAATATTTACTATTCTATCCCTAAAATACTTCTTTTTAAAACAAAACTCTTCGTATACCCAGTTCTTCAGCTGCTTATTATTAATTTCAACACTTTTATCCAAATACGTAACTGCTTATTTTTTAAGTCAGCTTCAGCACTTAAAAATGCTTTTCAGCATCTAATGCTTATGAGCTGCTCTAAATCAGCTGAGCCAAACGGGGTTCTACCTCACTTGTACAAAAACGGTTATCATGCCATTAGTTCGTTAGCCTGCTTCCCTCTCTCTTCTTAACATGCACTTCACACTCTCTGTAGACCATTTGATAAGAATCTAAATGAACACAACAGCACAGGTATAAACAATCCACCTCAATTTGCTTAAAATTGAGAGTTTATTGTTATTGTCAATCCGTAACCATGGATCCAAACCCTAGCAATTTCCCAATTCTCTCCTATGTCATGGCTAAGCTCCCCAGCATCGGCCCCAAACGATCAACTGCCGATGACTTCGACATCGAACAGCCGCCGCCGCATCCTCCGCAGTCGCAAGAACCTCACTTCGACCTTGCCGAGCGAATGCCGCATCTCACTGATCCCAAAGTCGTTTCCGCAATGCGACGCGCCGTGGCTGAAGTCGCTCAGACCCGATCCGTTCTCAAAACCCTAGGCGAACGTCCCGATCACGAGATTGTCGATACTGCAAAGATGAAACTCGCAGAAATTGAAGCCAATTTGTCCAAGCATCACGACGACGAGGTTGTTTTATCTCCGCGATCACCGGATGCAAAGGAAGATGAGTCTGTAAAGGCAGCGGAGAAGGAGAGAGAGGAGTATAAGGCGTTAATATCATTGGATGAGTTACATGAGGCGTATGAGAAGATGTTGAAGGAAGCCGAGGAGAAGTTGCAGAGGATTTATGAGGCTGCTGTTGCTGGTGATAACGTGGCAGCAGCAGCAGCTGATGAGGAGGTGACAAATGAGAAGGGTTTTGGAGTCAAAGAGGAAGTAAATGAGGAAGTGGTTGGGATTTTACAGGAGGCGTTGGGGAAAGGTGTAGAGAAGATTGATTTATCTGGTCGGATGTTGAGGTTGTTGCCAGAAGCTTTTGGGAAGATTCATTCTTTAATCATACTGAATTTGTCAAATAATCAACTTCAGGTAAACTGTAAGTTGAATTCAAAAGGCCTAATTTTTGAATCTTAACATGTCTATCATTCTAATTATGATTTGATTGCTCTTGAACTTATTGGTCGACACTAAACGCCATATTACTCCTTCCTTTCCTATTTATATGTTTATGTTACACTTGGCATAGAGTTAGTATTTTTTTTTAAGGCTGTTAGTATATTTATTTTAAACTTATGTATTATATTACTTCCTCCGTTTCATTTTATATGGCTAGCAATATTTGACTGGATTGAGTTTAGAAAAGAAAAGCTTTTGACATATACCAAAATATCCTTAGGACTTGGGATCTTGAGCATACCATGACATTTTTGTGGTTGTAAAAGCATGTTATTAAGTGCAAAATAGAAAAATTAAAATACAAGTTTTCAAGTATATTGCCCCAGGGCTTTGGTCTAGTGGTAAGAGTGCAATTTGTGATGTGTTAGGTGCACGTCACGGGTTCAGACGCTGCTGCACACAAGCCTAGTATTTAAGCAGAGAAGGATAGAAGAGCGGGTCATTATCCACCCTTGCGCCTCTCAAATATATAAAGATGTCAATTTTTTTGTAGCAAATGAAATTTTTTGATGTTAAAAAGTGGAATGACTGTAATGTAAATTGAAACAGAGAGAGTACTTGATATAGAGTATATCAAACTCTTACAAATATTAATATAAGAGGGATGTATCGAGAGTGGACAAGCGTTGACGTAGTTTGGTGAGTTTAGAGTTTTTGCAGTTGTGCATGCGTCTGTTATTTTTTTGTTGGTTTTGACGTCACTGTGCACTGCTTATCTGGAACAGAAACCAAAATTCCAAATAAGGTGGTATATACATTTTGAAGTTGTGCCTGGCTTAAAGTTAAATTGTGGTTACAATATTTACTATGGGTTGATATTGCAGCTTTCTGAGTCTTGTTCCATTGTTTATTCAACGGAAAGACTCAACCAACACATATCAGAATTCCTTTGCCTGGTTCTTATCAGTACCTCCCCAATTCTTTAGTCCCTTAGGATTGCCTAATAAAGCTTGAAGAGTATGTGTGCCTCGCTTCTATAGTAACAATATACGCAGGTGTGCAGCTTGAAATATGCAGACCCTATCTTTCTTAAAAACAATAGATTTAAAATAGTTCTCCACTCTTGTGGTTTCTACCACGACGGAATGTGGAATATTTTGTTTGGAGGTTGAAAATACCCATTTAATATGTTTTAAGTCTATGAAAGGTGTATAGAAATGTAGACTCTAAGTCATTGCTCGGAAATGATGTAAAGGAGAACGGAGACTACAAAGGTTTCTGATCCGCCAAATTACTATCCTGTATCCCAACCCTGGAATCTGGACAAGATTTGTGGTCACACTGATTGAAAATGGTTGGTTCACCTTCTTAAAAGATTAAATATCCATTACATAGAATTACGCATTCAAAACGGTCTTATCTCCAAATTAAAAGCTCCTATCTCATGCATAAAAAAACAAAATTCAGGAGGTGCTGACTATATATCACTTCCCTTCACGCTTAAACCTCCATAAGTATTTCCTTTTCTCTGAGTTCTCAAATAGCCGTCTAATTGCTCTTGAGTAAGTCCAAGTACATAACTCATGCAGAGTTGTGCCAGAAGTCAGAACCATAGATACCATCCAACCATTTTCTTTTATTTTCTGTGTATGTCTCCACCATTTGCTGTCCATGTGCATGTGCCATGTGTGCATGCATGCGTGTGAATAGACTTGAGCTCCATTGAGTTCAATTTAAGCTAGTTAGAAAATGTTTACAATCTTAGTTCAAAATATATCAATAAAAGCATGAGCCAAATAAATTACGTGTATATATCTACTGGCTAGATTGTTCTCAAATATACGCACTTTCCTGCCAATCTTAATCCTGGAAAAGGTCTACTTGTCAAAAAAAAAAAAAAAAAAAAAATCATAACCCTGGAAAAGCATGTATTGTCTGGACATAGTAATGAATAATCGATGTGTAACAGCGTCCGGGATCTTGTAAACTGTGATACAGCAGTCTGCAGAATGAGCTGTGACTCTTATGCTGGTATGTCCGTATTAAATGTTATATTTGCAAGACTTTTTTGTTTCTTCATTTACTTCAACAAAGGCTAAACAAAAATTGCTTTGAATCTTAGTATAAATCTGATAAGAAGCACGAGCGTGAGAAAGTAACATATGTCTCCTGCCTGTATTTTTTTAATGACGTTGTCATTGACATGATAATAATGAACAATGGATGTCTCACACGTTTAAGAATTTTTGGAAATATATTACTACAAACAGACCTGTGACCCCTATTATTGATGGATCCATATTGAATGTTTAATTTGGTATTGTCTTTCCAAACCCAAATTCATTGGGAACCTGAAGGAGTTTGTAGCTTATTAAGTTCAATAAAATCAATCAATCAAGCGATGAAATTTCTATTGAAAGAGGGCATCCATGGGGTGCAGAAAAGTACAAGAAGGCGAAGAGCTCATAGACAAAATTTAAGGAGCTAATAGATCCAAACACTCATGTACAACATTTACATTTCTGTAGTTACACTGATAAAATAAATCAAGAGACATCTAGACTTCGCCCACGGGGCTTTGGTCTAGTGGTAAAACACTGCCTGTGATGTGTTGTTGAGATGGCTAATTATGTAAAAGTGACTATGTACTTGTAAAGTGGCTAGTTAGTTAATTTTTTAGGAGGCTATTTTTGTTATTCAGTGTAGTTAGGAAATTTTGTATATATTGATGCTACAGATGTAAGAAAGGTCGGTTGGCCCATTCTAGATTCTTCTTTCTTCTCTCTCTTCGTTATGCAAACTCTGTCTCCCTCCGATCTCCATTGTTGCTCACCTCGAGCTTGAGTGAGGTGAGGACCTGTGTTTTACATGGTATCAGAGCCCGACCATCCCACTACAATCGTCTCTTTTGTTCTGTTACTCTTTTCAGTTCATCATCTCTTCGATTTAGCCCTAATTTGCTCGATTTCTGAGGTCTGTTCCATTTGCCCTAATTTGAGTGCCTAATCAAAGGCTTCTTCTTCCAACAGTGAAATACTAGTATAACTAGCTTCAATTTCTCATGGCTGTGGACGATTTGAACGATATAGATACTACAGCAGTGAATGTAGGAATTCAAGGAAATTCCGAAATCGATACTAGCGATCATTTGTATCTACACCCATCAGATAATCCTGGTGCTATGCTTGTGTCAACTCCTTTCAGTGGAGTTGGTTATCGATTATGGAGGCGCAGTGTATTGCGAGGACTGTCAGTCAAAAATAAACTAGGGTTCATAAATGGTGAATGCAAGCGTCCAGATCCCCACTCGCCCACATTCCGTCAGTGGGAGCGATGTGATGATATGGTGACCTCCTGGCTCCTGGATCCTCAATTCTCTCTCGAAGGACATTGCGGATAGTGTTGAATATGCAAATGATGCTGTGGAGTTATGGATTGAGTTAGAGGATCGATATGAGCAAACAAATGGAGCTAGATTATATCAAATTCAGAAGGAAGTCAATGATATATCCCATGGGACCCTTGATATCACCAGCTACTACACTAAATTGAAAAAGCTTTGGGAGGAATTGAGCACTTTGAGTTAAAGGTCCCAGTGCAGTTGTAATTGTACTTGTGGTGCCAAGGAAAACTTATACAAAGCTGAACAAGATAGGCGGCTAATACAATTCCTTATGGGTCTGAATGAGACATATACTGTGATTCGAGGAAGCTTTCTGATGATGAATCCATTGCCAACATTGGCTCAAGCCTTTTCTTTGCTGATACAAGACGAGAAACAGAGAGAAATCAAGCCAAACACTCAATTGTTCATTGAGTCCCCATCAGTGAATGCCACCAGCTCTAGGTCTAATGCCTATAAGACCAATTACTCACCCAACAATGGCAATTATAGTGGTTATGGTAGGGGAAGACCCATGTGTGACTTCTGCAAAAAGCCCGGTCACACTAAAGAGAAGTGTTACAAATTACACGGCTATCCTGACAGTTCTGGCCACTCACGCAATCAAAATGAAAATCCTAATCAAAACTTCAACCAATGTCAAGGTTTTAATCGAAGTCAGAGTTTCAACAGAGGAAAAGGGGTGGTGGCCAATGTTCACCATGACACACCTTGCAACAAGGTAGAGGAAGCCACTGGTTTGGATGAAGACCAAAACATCAGCCTATCAAAAGAGCAATATGGACAGATCATGAGCCTGTTGCAACACTTCCATGCTGGGAATGGAGCAGAATATATGAATGCTGGCAATTCTACCAATGGAGCTGTGAACTTTGCAGGTATAGTAGTTTGCACCTCCTCTATTGATTTTGGTTAACTGTCCTGGGAGTGTTTCAAAAACAAGACTGACTCCTGGATATTAGACTCAGTAGCTTCAAATCATATGACCTTTAATAAATCCTTCTTACCAATATTGTGACACTACCTTACCCACTTTTAGTTGTCCTGCCAAATGGCTATAAAGTAAAGGTAACAAAAATTGGTAGTGCAACACTTGTGCCTGATATCACCTTACATAGAGTAATGTTTATACCCTCTTTTAAATACAATCTGATTTCCATTCACTGTCTAGCCAGTTCTAACCTTTACATTTTGCAGGCCCCTTTAATGAAGAGGCCTCTGGAGATTGGTAAGGCCTATGATGGTCTGTACTTTCTTTGTCCAAAGTGTCTGAGGAACAGGTATACAAATTCGGTAGTCAGCAATTCAGTTTCTAGCCTTAATGATAGGATTCACTGCACACACAATTCACCCTGTCATGGTCATTCATTTGTACATAGTTCAAACTCCACAATTAAGTGTGTATCTTTCCCCCTTGTAAATAGTTCAAGTTCAAGCAATAAAAATCAGAGTTCTGTTTCTGTTTTGAATTCTTGTGCATCCACTGGTTATGATATGAACATTTTGTGGCATAATAGATTAGGGCATGTACCCTTTGCTAAAATGAGAGGGATCTCCTCTATCCCTGTTTCCTTCCCATCCAAACAACCTTTCCTGTGTTCCATTTGTCCAATGGCTAGACAAGGGAGACTGCCATTCCCCCAGAAGACCAACTTCACAACTGAAATTTTCCAATTACTCCACATAGACATATGGGGACCTTATCATGTAACAACACATGATAATTACAAATATTTCCTTACAATGGTAGATAATTACAGTAGGTGCACCTGGACCAACCTTCTAACCTGCAAAAGCAATACCCTACAAATTATAAAAACATTTGTTTCCATGGTTTAGACTCAATTCAACACCAAAATCAAAACTATCAGATCTGACAATGGTTCAGAATTTACTAGTACAGAAGCAAACCTATTCTTCCAATCCAAAGGCATCATCCATCAAAGGAGTTGCCCCTACACACCACAACAGAATGGCATAGTAGAAAGAAAACATAAATACCTCCTGGAAACTGTTAGAGCCCTTTTATCCCAATCAAAATTGCCTCTGAGGTACTAGGGTAAATGTATTCTGTGTGCAACCTACATTATAAATAGACTACCTTCTTCTCATAGTCACCCAAAAACCCCATTTGAACTACTTTACAAAAGAAAACCAACATACTCCCACATGAAAAGTTTTGGATGTCTGTGTTATCCCTCTGTGCCTAAGGTGCATAGGGACAAATTTGAACCCAGAACAACACCACATATATTCATTGGTTATCCTTATGGAGTCAAGGGGTACAAGGTCCTAAGTCTTGCCACTAAAAAGATACATATCTCTAGGGATGTTGTCTTTATTGAAAGTGTATTTCCATTCACTCTAACATCTGAAACTACATCTTTCCCCTCTGTCTTTAATAATCCTGTTCCTTTCATTGATTGTTCTCCTAAGAATGATAGACATCTCTATGATAAGTGATAATGGCACAAGTATTGCACACAATCAACCTTTAGAACATGATATTCCTTTAACACCTGTCAGACCTTCCATGTCATCTGAACCTTCTACCTCGTTACCATAATCTAACACACCACAGCCTTCAAACCACAGCACATCACCTATTGGGGATCAACCAGGCCACACCTCCATTACCCTAAGGAAGTCACAAAGACCTCTCAAAACACCACTATACTTACAAGATTACCTACACTCACTTCCAAAATTGAAGTCATCATCCCCTGCTGATCACTGTATTCAGCTACACCATTCTCTCTTAATGTTGCATTTTCCAAGAGTCATCATGTGTCCCCTGATACTCTGATTCCTGAAAGTCAAAGTCTTGTAAGAGACATTTGCAGTGACAGTGAACCTTCATCATATGAGGAGGCAGCTATGAATCCTGCCTGGCAAACAGCTATGAACCAAGAATTTGAAGCATCACATGCCAGCCATACTTGGGACCTAGTTCCCCTGCCTGCTGGGAAGAATACTATAGGATGTAAATGGGTGTATAACATAAAACACAAAGCAGATGGGAGTGTAGAAAGACTCAAAGCTAGGCTAGTTGTGAAAGGGTATACCCAACAAGCAGGCATTGACTATACAGAGACATTCTCCCCTGTAGACAAGATGACTACTGTGAGGTCTCTGATAGCTGTTGCTATGAAAAAGTCTACATGGTGACCTAAATGAAGAAGTCTACATAGAGGTTCCTCAGGGCCTGACTGTAGATAATTCAGAGTTGGCTTGCAAGCTCAACAAGTCACTTTATGGGCTCATTGAAGCCTTATGTTCAAGGGGTTATGCACACTCTATGTATGACTACTCCTTGTTCTATAAGAAAACTGAAAACTCAACTGTCTATATAGTAGTGTATGTAGATGACATTGTGGTGACAGGCACCGACACAATGGAGATTGAAGAATTGAATGCTTTTTTGAATGACAGCTTCAAGATAAAAGATTTGTGCAGGCTACAGTATTTTCTGGGACTAGAAGTTCTTTACAAAGCTGATGGTGTGATAATATCTCAGAGGAAGTTCACTCTTGACTTGCTCAAAGAATATCAGTGCATGGATTACAACAGCTTTGCTTCATCACTGGATTCAACAGTCAAACTCTAGGCAAAAGAAGGAGAGGTTCTGACTGATCCTACCTAATATAGGAAACTAGTAGGAAAGCTTAATTTCCTCACCAACACTAGATTGGATATAGCCCACAGTGTACAAAATTTGAGCCAATTCATGGATGACCCCAGACAGCCTCACTTGAAAGCAGCTTTTCATCTTCTTAGATATTTGAAGGGGGGCCCAACTCTGGGGATTTTCCTGTCCAAGGATGCAGATTATACTATCAAGGCCTACTGTGACTCTGACTGGGCAGCATGCCCAGATTCCCGAAAATCTGTGAGTGGGTATCTTGTACTTTTAGGGAGCAGCCCTGTTAGCTGGAAATCAAATAAGCAAGACACCATTTCATTGCCCTCTGCAGAAGCTGAGTATAGAGCTCTAAGAAAGGTAGTGGGGGAATTGGTGTGGCTTAGTAGGCTGTTTGAGGAGCTCACGGTTCCTTTCCCTAAGCCTATTACAGTGTTCTGTGATAGCCAGTCTGCCATGCACATAGCAAGAAACTCAGTGTTCCATGAAAGAACCAAACACATAGAGGTGGACTGTCACTTTGTCAGAAGCAAGCTACAAGAAGGGTTGATTTCATTACAACATGTAGGAACTACAAACCAGCTTGCAGATGTTTTAACTAAAGCATTAACAGGAGTCAAACATTCAGCAGCTTTGCACAAGGTGGCAGTGTTTGCTACACCACCAACTTGAGGGGGGTGTTGAGATGGCTAATTATGTAAAAGTGATTATGTACTTGTAAAGTGGTTAGTTAGTTAATTTGTTAGGAGGCTATTTTTGTTATTCATTTTAGTTAGGGAATTTTGTATATATTGATGCTACAGAAGTAAGAAAGGTCGGTTGGCCCATTCTAGATTCTTCTTTCTTCTCTCTCTTTGTTATGCAAACTCTGTCTCCCTCCGATCTCCATTGTTGCTCACCTCGAGCTTGAGTGAGGTGAGGACCTGTGTTTTACATGTGTGGGTTAGGCGCACGTCACGGAGTCAAACCTTGTCGCGGACAAAAGCTTGTAATTAATTGGATAAGGGTAGAGGAGTGAGCTCGCTATCCACCGAGTTCCGAACTGTGTGCCACTAGTCATCAGGAGTTCTTGGCTATAAAAAAGAAATAGACATCCAGCCTTCAGGGTAGACAAGAAGTTGTGCTCCTTCAAACATCTTTGATTTCTGTCCCTCCACAATCTCCAAAGAAACAGGTCGACAGCATTCTAGCATATCTTCTTTGGTGGGTTTTGCAACTTCCCAATGACCAAATCTGGCATAGGCTACCTTCACTGGTTAAGGCTTCCACCGTTGCATCCTAAGAAGTATCTTTAATATGTTCCATATGCCACTTGCAACTGGAAAATGTAAGAAGTAGCAGGCATCTTCAGCATCTGACCTGCAAATGGAGCATCTTTTACAATAAGGTAGCCTTCTTCTTTTGAGGTTGTCTTCAGGAAGCCACAGGCCTCATCTAATACAATCCAGTTGAAGCAAGCCACTGTTGTTAGCACTTTGATCTTCCAAATTAGCCTAGATGAGGTTAATTGTGAATCATCCTCTGTTCTTCCTTCCCATTTTTGTCTTGTCGTCCCTCTTTATTTTCACTGTCACTTGCTCATTATGTGCAAAAAAATCTTTTGGTGCAAATTTTTCCGCCAAAAGTATGAGCTGAAGATATTACATGAGTATTCCAGTTCACATGCTTTCTTACCTGTAATAAACATGTAAACCATGTATTCATTCCAGTTCACATACTTTTATGCCAATAATAAAAATCTAATGAACTGTCTCATGGTAGACAGAGACGTGACCTCTAATTTGTTGGTCCATCCATATCAAATGTTTAATTTTATATTGTTTTCTTACTAAGGAGCGGTGTGTTCGTAATTTTGATTTGTTTTTTAATTCCAAAAATTAACTTAAATATTTTCCTAGTACTTATAGAGCTTTAAGCACCTAGATATTTTTCTTAAAACGATCATTGAATTTAAACTAACCAGGAGATAGAATTATGAAAACAAAGAGCACAACCATTCTTGGCATTTATATTAGTAGTAATTTTTTATACAGACAAACTAAAAGGGAGGGGGCTCTTGTTCATCCAAGTTTTCTACACTTATATGTATCATACATTTTTACGGCAAGGAAAGGGAGAGAAAACAGACGAGAGAGAAAGACCAAGAAGCCCGCAGCTATTGTATTGATAGACTTTGATACGCATTGACAAAATGCAGTGTGTCACGTTGCTTCTTTGATGACACTGCCAATATGATGATTTATTCTCTCCTTGAATCCTCTTCATGATCCTTCTATCTGCTGAGAATAAACAGTATTTTCCATTGAAACGTGTATAAACAGAAAGCTGGGCAAAGTTGTTCTAGATGGATGAATGAGGAGAAAAACAAACTGTTGGTTCTCTTGCCTTCTACTGTTTATAGTATCGACCCTCCTTTTGATTTCTGATAATTGTTTGCCTCTAACATTTTGAGGGGAACAGGTAATTCCTGATTCAATTGCTGGTTTGGAAAATCTCGAGGAGCTTCATCTTGCTTCTAATATTTTGGAGTCATTGCCTGACTCCATTGGCTTGTTGTTTAGTTTGAAGATCTTAGATGTCTCTGGAAATAAGCTCGCTGCGATTCCAGATAGCATTTCCCATTGCAGGTAACTCTAATTCAGAAATGATTATTTACTGTCCCTCCCCCAGATCACGGATATAACATTGATCTTTTCAATTTTCTTTGACTACTAACTTTGAGTGATTTCAGGTCATTGGTGGAGTTGGATGCAAGGTTCAACCAGCTTTCTTACTTGCCAACAAACATTGGGTATGAACTAGTAAATCTGAAAAGGCTTTCAGTTTCCTTCAACAAGCTCCGTTCCCTACCCAGTTCTATTGGTGAGATGAAGTCCCTGCGCTTACTAGATTTGCACTTCAATGAACTTCATGGACTTCCACGTTCAATTGGGAACTTGACAAATCTTGAGATCCTCAACCTGAGCAGCAATTTCAATGATCTGACTGAACTTCCTGACACAATCGGTGACTTGACAAATTTAAAAGAACTTGATCTGAGCAACAACCAGATCCATGAATTGCCTGATACATTTGGCCGGCTTGACAACCTGACTAAGCTTAACTTGGACCAAAACCCTCTTGTGATACCTCCAAAGGAGGTTGTATATGGAGGGGCTGAAGCTGTAAAAGCTTTTATGATTAAGCGACAGCTCGATGTACTGATGGAAGAAGAGCGACAAAACATGGAGGAAGAGGAGAGACAGACGTTGACCAGTTTACTTACACGAAGTACCTCCTGGTTGAGTGGTGTTGTTTCAAATGTTTCTGGAACTGTTGCAGAGTATTTGGGTGGCGTAAGAAAGTTAGATCCAGACCATTATCTCAACCAGCAGTTGTGAGTCTTTTGAGATCACATTCTCACTGTTAAAACCTTTTAGATGTCATGCTATTCCTACGATGATTGACATTATGGCTCATAGCTGCCAGTTGCATCCCTCCCCTCCCGTCAACTTGGTACTTTGTTTCAGTTTTATGTGCGAGGATAAATGAAGAATGGTGGCCTTTTTTACTGTGGTTCCTAGTAAATGTCCCTAACTTTTGAGTTTTGACATGCTAGAAAAACTGTGTTCAATTTTTGGGATAATAATAGGAAGCTGTTCTTTGTTTTGCTCTGTAGAATTTCAGTGGCTTAGTTGTAGAAATGATCTAATTCAGATTCAAATGTTTTTACTTGAGAATTTTCTTTTCCTATTCATGATATCAACTAATTTCTCCTTGTATTTATGAAATACTAGGTACAGGGTCATCGTAGTTAATCACTTCCTTCTCATTATATCATCTTCTTTTATCTCATAATTAATTATAGCGAATTTCAAGTTACATGCAATTTTATATATCATAATTTTTATGTAAATCAATGGTGAAACAAAGATTCGGTGCTATGTGCTTCAACATTTCACGTTTCGCTTTGTTTACCCGTAAAACGGTACAATTGAATTTGTAATGTGATTTATAGACAATCGAATCGATTTGATCCCAATGATAAATAAATTAAATAAAATGCAAGACTTAGCGTTGAAATCGAGAAAAGACAGCAAATAGCTTGGTTCCGGGAGCAGAGCTTCCGAAGGCAGTATTCAAAATATAAATAGAGAAATAAAGTGTTATTGAGCTTTAGAATAATATGTAGCATAAGTTTGTCAGAACATTCGTCTCCTTTACAATGGATGTTGAAGTTAGTATTTACAGCTGCACCTAGGCAATAAGGTCCTATGATCAAGCCCCTCTTAAATGACAATTATGGGGGCCATTGATGAATGTGTAATGGCAGACTATGAATGCCAAAATTCTCTATAATGGATTGTGTATTTAATACTGAAGAATATTCTTCACTGAATGTCATCGGGTGGCGAACATTCGTTTGTCTTTATTAGTAATATTCCCTTCGACCAACTGAAGTTGCTGTCCCCGATCTAGGTTTCTACTTGCTTCGCTTTCCGTCTATCTCTGGTTCCACATGTCACTCTATCATTCGAGCACTTAATACGAACCGATTTTACCATATAGAGATAGACCCCTGCTTTCCGATGGCACTTCTTTGTGTCATCGGGAAGTTGGTGAAGATACCTTTCTTGGCGGGAAATTTTTTGATCCCCTCTGAAATGTTTCTAACGCTTCATTAGACGCACGTCTCTCCGCATTTAATGCCCCAAACACGCGTCACTCCACGATTTAACAATACTTTCATCGGTTCTCGAGGTAATCATGGCCACGATTTTAGCCGCCTATTCATTTACTTATACACCTCATTCTTCTTCTTTTACACTTCACAATTTTTCAAAACTCTCTCAACTTCTTTGTATTCAACTTTTCTTGCTTTTAATGTTCTTCTTCAAAGAACTCTTATTACCTTTTGCTAAGCATGGCTTCCTCCTCCAAGAACTCAAGTTCTCTAAAAAACAAAGAAAGCACCGATGATGCTACCGCTCCTACGGTGAGCACTATCATTCCCGAAAGGCTTAGTACAGTCAAGGATTACGAAGAGAAGTTTCCTTCTACAAACTGTCGTACATGGGCTGGTTGCGTGTACCCTTCTTCCATCCGTCCTTCAAGTATTTCTGTTGTGAAGGAGGATTGTGGTTGCCATGATTTGAACATCATCGCTCCCGATCTGGTGGAGCGAGTAACCTTCCCTAAGAAAGGTTATCACTTTGGGCCCATTCTCATTGAGTGGAGGACTTGACCCCGTAATCTTGGAGTTCTGCCACCGGTATCAAGTCTGCTTGCAACAAGTGAGCCCCTCTGTATGGCGGACGATAGCATGTCCACGACGGGTATGCCAGGAGATGGGGGAAGAGATCTCCTTGGCTCATATGATGAACCTATACTCCCTCAAGATTTTCTATGGGGGAGTAATAAACTTTAGCAAACGTGGCCACCATGCTTTGCTCACTAGCATGGATGATGATAACGAGTGTGGATGGATGGAGCGGTTCGTTGTAGTTTCCACCAGGGATATCATCCCGGCCACAACTCCATCTTTCCCTGAGTCATGGACTCATACACGTAAGTTCAACGCCTGTCTTTTCTCTGATAAAAGGTTGTCTAATGTTGTTACTGATTCTTCTCTTTTCATTATTTCAGCAACTCGGTGGACACCACCAAGGGTTGAAGGCTTGGCCAGTGGGTTCAGAAGATTCTGGATATTACCATGCGTGAAACCCGCCGGTGGAAAGAACTGGCCCTCAAATACGGGTGGAAGGACAAAAATCATGGTAAGTTGATTCCCCAAAACTAATCTTGTCTTTACCTCATTCTCGTGTATAAGAAAGTTGGTTAACTTCTTTTTCCGTTGAATTCAGGTCTTCCGTAGGGCTTTGTTACCGTCCCTGAGAAAGACGTTTTGGTTGATCCTGCGAGTTGCTCCAGGAGGCCTTCACCCGAACAGGGGCCATCGGATCAGCTTCTGGTGCAAGTGCTTCCTCTCGGAGTCCCCGACCGGAAAGCAAGCAACCAAAAGGTGGCGCTACTCCTCGACTGAGGGCAAAAGTAAAAAGGTGAAGAGCGTCGCGCCCGAGCTAGCCACAACTACTGTGGTGATTGATGATGATGGGGAAACGAGTGATGAAGGGGCTTCCCTACAGAGGATACAATGACCTTCATCAACTCAACAGAATGATCACTCTGAAGAGCTTATAACACCAACCGAGGACAACGTCCAAGCGCTCTGGGGAGAGTGTGATATAGTGGAGAATGTCAATTCTCTCTTCCGAGCCCCAGTTGCTGCTCCCGGTACTATGGGGCTGAGTATCGGGCTTATTTCGTCTTCGGTTGATGAGCAACCTACAACCAAGCACTACCATTGCCGCAACTGCTTCTCAGCCCACAACACCATCAACTTCATCGCGTTCCACACAGGTCATACTTTCATCACCAGAAACTGCTACATTACACCCACCGGCCTTCGACACCTGAGAGCAGGATATCCCCCTCTATAGACCATTGGAATTTGGGGCACAATTATTCGCCTCCCTCTGCAGATCCCTAGGGGAGGAGGAGCATCTCTCTCTCGGTCTCTCACTAGTGCCATCTAGTGTCCCGTCTGGTGGAACTTGCTAATTACTTGAAGCCGCTGGCTTCAGAGAAACACAAGAAGAAAATACACTCTCTTTCAGGGGAGTGTATGATAAATAACGCCATGCACAACGCAACAGCGGTATGATACTCGTTCTCTTTGCTGTTTGTTTTCTTTTGCTGCTCGCCGAACTCATGTAGTTTATGAGGGAAATAAATGCCCGAATGGACAAAATCCTGGTCGTACTGCCAGTGTTGAAAGGACCAGACTTAAATAAATAGACCTAGTTGCCATTCAAATCGAGTGCGGCACTGGAGTTAATCCCCAAGCAGTTCAAAATGCCAGACGTGCCAAAATATGATGGGACTTTGGATCTTCAGGAGCACATCACCACCTACACAACGGCGGTGAAAGAAAGCGACTTAGCTCCGTACGAGATTGAGTTAGTCTTGCTGAAGAAGTTCGGGGATACCCTCGCGAAGGGGGCCTCGACACGTTATTCACTTTTAGCCGAGCACTCAATAGATTCCTTCGAGATGCTCACGGATTCTTTTATCAAGGCCCATGCCGGGGCCAGGAAGGTGCAGGCCCGAAAGGCCGATATATTCAGAATTGTGCAAGGAGAGTCTGAATTGCTGAGAGAGTTCGTGACCAAATTTTAGAAGGAAAGGATGCTGCTACCGGCCATGCCAGAGGAATGGGCACTTGAGGCATTTACTAAGGGGTTGAACCCGAGGAGCTCTGATGCATCCCAGAAACTGAAAGAAAGTGTACTCGAGTTCCAGGAAACAACATGGGAAGATGTCCACAACCTCTACAAATCGAAGATAAGAATAGAGGATGACCAACTCAGTTTCCCAGCATCAACCAAGGGTCGGGATCGGGAGAAGAATAAGGAAAATTTGAAGGATGATTTCGACGTAGATCGATGGTCTTCTAAAGGCCAGTTTTTGCCCTACAAAAGGGTCGAAGGACGCGGCAGAGGTTTTCGGTCGGCGGACAGGTTCATTACCGATAGGAGAGTTGACCGTGGCCGGAATAACAGATCATTGCAGGACAAAGAGATATCAGGCTCCCGGGATTCCACCTACCCCTGATTGTCCGAGTATAACTTCAATATCAGTGTAGTGAAACTAGTATCAGCAATGAGGAACATTAAGGAAGCACGGTTCCTGAGGCCGATGAAATCTGATTCGAGTCAGAGGGATCCCAATCTATAGTGTGAGTATCATGGGACTAACGACCATCGGATTGAGGACTGCCGATATCTATGCAATGAGGTGGAGACATTGCTGAAAATGGCCGTCTCAGAGAGTTCTTAAGCGACCGGGCTAAAAATAACTACGGCCGCAACCAGGATAACGCGGAACCCTCGAAGAGAGGAGAAGATCCTCCTCGTCTAACGATCAACGAGATTTTTGGAGGGAATGAGATTAATGGTGTAACCTTTTCAACAGCAAAGAAGACAAAGGTATTAGTGACTCATAGCAAAAGACTCCGGGAAGTCGCCGAGAACGATATCACATTCACAGAGGAGGACGCAGATGGACTCCTACTACCGCACAATGATGCCTTGATAATTTCTCTTAATGTTTTAGATTTTAAATTAAACGTATTTTGGTTGACCTAGGGAGTTCAGCTAATATCATTAAATGGAGACTGCTGGAACAAGACAAGCTAATCGGAAGCATCATTCTGGCCACAAAGCTCCTCGCTGGAATCAACATAGCAAGTGTGACAACCTGATGGAAGATCTTGCTTCCCACAAATGTCGAAGGGGTCATGAAGACGACCCTGTTTGAAGTAGTAGACGCCGACATGGGCTACATCATTATTCTCGGAAGACCATGGCTACATGAGATGAAGGTTGTGCCATCAACATACCATCAACTTTTAAAACTCCCAACTCAAGAGGGAATTAAACAAATAAGAGGAGATCAAACAGCAGAAAGGGAGATGAAAGCAATCTCGGTTTCTAGTAGTAAAGGGAACGAACATGCGGAATAGAAATTACAGGAACCGACACCTGCCCTCGAGCCAAACGAAGTCGACAAAGGGGAGGAGCCGCTAGGATCCTATCAGGTACCAAGGTATTTCAGGTACCAGAAGAAACGGACGCAATCAAATTCACAATGGAAGAACTCGAACAAGTCGCATTGTTCGAGAAGTTCTTGGA